TCCCAAAATTCCCGTCCCAAAATCCCCAAAATCCCCAAAATCCCCGTTCCCGCATTCCCGGGCCCTGGAGCACTTCCAGAGGGAGCTGCAGCTGAAAAAAATAAAAAAAATTCCCGTCCCAAAATTCCTGAAAATTCAAAAAAAAATCTCCAAAATTCCAGGAGTGCTGGACGTGGCTGATCCCAAATCCCCAAAATTCCTGATCCGAAATCCCGAAATTCCCAAATTTCTGATCCCAAATCCCAAATTCCTGATCCCAAACCCCAAATTCCTGATCCCAAATCCCAAATTGCAAAATTCCCCAAATCCCAAACCCCAAATCCCCAAAATCCCAAATTTCTGATCCTGAATCCTAAAATTCCCCAAATCCCAAAATTCCTGATCCCAAATCCCCAAAATCCCAAAATTCCTGATTCCAAATCCCCCAAACCCCAAAATCCCCAATTCCAAAAATTCCCAAAATTCCTGATCCCAAATCCTCAAACTCCCAATTCCAAACCCCAAAATTCCCAAATTCCCAATTTTCCCCAGGAGTGCCAGACGTGGCTGAACCCCAAAATTTTCTAAAAATTCCCAAAAAAAATCCCCAAAATTCCCCCAAACAAATCCCCAAAATTCCGAAAAAAATTCCCAACCAATCCCAAAAATTCCTCCAAAATCCCTAAAACCCTTTAAAAACCCCCAAAAAAGCCCTAAAAGCCCCCAAAACTCCCTCAAAAATCCCCAAAATTCCCCAAAAAATCCCCAAAATTCCCAAAAATCCCCAAATTCCCCAAAAATCCCCAAATTCCCCAAAAATCCCCAAAAATTCCCCAAAATTCCCAAAATCCCGGAATTCCCGCATCCCAGGAGTGCCGGACGTGGCTGAATCCCCAATCCCAGATCCCCAAAATTTCCCCAAAATCCCCAAAAAACCCCAAAAAACCCCTTTAAAACCCCCCCAAAAATCCCCCAAAACTCCCCAAAATCCCCAAAAAACCCCAAAATTCCCCAAAATTCCCAAAAATTCCCGGAATTCCCGAATTCCCGAATTCCCCAGGAGTGCCGGACATGAATCCCCAGTCCCAGATCCCCAAAATTCCCCCAAAATCCCCAAAAAACCCCAAAAAACCCCTTGAAAAACCCCCAAAAAAGCCCTAAAATCCCCCAAATCCCCAAAAATTCCCCAAAATTCCCAAAAAATTCCTGGAATTCCCAAATCCCAGGAGTGCCGGACGTGGCTGATCCCAAATCCCAAAAATTCCCCAAATTCCTCAAAATTCCCCCAAATTCCTGAATCCCAACATTTACTAAACATTCCCAAACAATCCCAAAAATTCCCCCAAAAAACCCTTTAAAAACCCCCAAAAAAGCCCTAAAATCCCCCAAAATCCCCAAAAATTCCCCAAAAATTCCCAAAAATTCCGGAATTCCCAAATTCCAGGAGTGCCGGACATGAATCCCCAATCCCAGATCCCCAAAAAACTCCAAAAAACCCCTAAAAAAACCCTTTAATAACCCCCAAAACTCCCCAAAATCCCCAAAAATCCCCAAAAATTCCCCAAAAATCCCCAAAATTCCCAAAAAATTCCCGGAATTCCGGAATTTCCAGGAGTGCCGGACGTGGCTGAACGTGGCGCTGGCGCTGGAGGAGTCGGGGGCGGCGCCGGCCGAGCTGCTGAGCCCCCTGCGGAACGCGCTGGGATGCGCCCGGAACGCTGGGGACACGCAGCTGCAGGTGGGAATCCGGGAATTCCCAAATTCCGGGAATTCCGGGAAAAATTTGGGAATTTTTGGGGGATTTTCAGGCATTTTTTGGGGATTTTTTGGGGATTTTTGGGGATTTTTTGGTGAGTTTTTGGGGATTTTTGGGGCTCTGGGATGCGCCCGCAGCGCCGGAGACACGGAACTCCAGGTGGGAATCCCGAATTCCAGGAATTTTGGGAATTTTTGGGAATTTTGGGGGGTTTTTGGAGTGTTTTAGGGCATTTTTGGGGATTTTTTGGTGAATTTTTGGGGATTTTTGGGGCTCTGGGATGCGCCATTTTTAATGGCTATTATTGGGATTTTTTGTGGGATTTTTTGGGGTTAATTTTGGCATTTTTGGGCCTTTTTCCCCCCAAATCCCCAATTTTTGGGGCTATTTTTTGGGGTGTTTTGGCAATATTTTAGGGCTATTTTTGGGGTTAATTTGGCCATTTTTGGGCCATTTTCCCCCCGAAATTTCTGATTTTTTTAGGGTTATTATTGGGACTTTTTGGGGGATTTTTTGGGGTTAATTTGCCCGTTTTTGGGCCATTTTCCCCCCGAAATTCCCAATTTTCCAGCGGCGGGCGCTGCGGTGGCTCCGGGCTCCTGGGGGATTTTTTGGGGTTAATTTGGGCATTTTTGGGCCATTTTCCCCCTGTAATTTCTGATTTTTCTGGGGCTATTATTGGGACTTTTTGGGGGATTTTTTGGGGTTAATTTGGCCATTTTTGGGCCATTTTCCCCCTGTAATTTCTGATTTTTCTGGGGCTATTATTGGGATTTTCTGTGGGATTTTTTGGGCCGTTTTTTTCCCGAAATTCCCGGTTTTCCAGCGGCGGGCGCTGCGGCGGCTCCGGGCTCCTGGGGGATTTTTTGGGGTTAATTTGCCCATTTTTGGGCCATTTTTGGGCCGTTTTTTTCCCGAAATTCCCAATTTTCCAGCGGCGGGCGCTGCGGCGGCTCCGGGCTCAGCAGCTCCGGGCCGGGGACCCCGAGGGCGCCCGGGAGACCCAAAAGGAGCTCGGGGGGGACCAGGAGGAGCAGGAGGAGGAATCGGAATCGGAAGAGGAAGAGGAATCGGAATCGGAATCGGAATCGGAGCTCTCCGACAGCGGTGAGAGAGAACTGCGGGAATTTGGGGGA